CTGTGAATGCTGAGGGTTTGATCTCCTCAGGAGACAATTACAACACCTACGACATGGATCCGGACTCGCAGAAGCCCGAACCTCAAAGTCGTCATGAACTCCTGCCTCACATCACACGCGCACACAGACAGCGCGTCTTGGAACCATAACACTGCCAATCCCTACCATCATGCCTGAAATGGGAGCAGGAAACTTTCTCTCAGCAAGGTACATGCACGCCTTGCTGAAGCTCGTACAGCTTGCGCAGTGCTTGAAGCCGAATCCGGACCAATCCAAGAACTGTGCCGCTAGACAGAGCATCAGGGGGGGGGCCTAGGCTGCTGGGTGTTAGATCGACTGCTTCCGGGATAGGAGGGTGATGGGGTGAAGGGTGGGTGTAGAGGTTGGTTCTTGCAATGCTTTGCGCTCTAAGACTTTGGTGGTCCATGGCAGTGGCGGTTATCAGCGGTAAGCAGAAGAACGCTCATTGCCAAGGTGTTCTGATCCAACACTGCAGGGTGACAGTGTGCCGATGACCAGAGGACGCTCTGTGAGGTCGCATGCGGCTTGCTGAGCCAGACTTGCTGTTTGTGCTGACCTGCTCAGCTGCTTGTAGCTGCATGTGTTTTGACCAGTGTCCCTGGCCATATTTGAAGTCGCGGGATGCAGTCATGAAAACACCCCAACTGGGCCCTCTTGACTCTTGACTTACCACGAAACCCTTTCTCACAGCATCAAAGAGCAGATCTCTGCACGTTGAAATCTTGGTGTTCATCCGTTCATGCTAAGCGAGTAGCGGCTGTGGCCCGAACTGCCACAGCGGAGCCCAGCAATTTAAAAGTAAGGCACTGAAGAGAGCCAGCCCTTCAACCGGAAGAGACCCTCCCTTCCGAGAGCCTACGACTCCCTCCTGCAGCATGTGGACAATGATTCCCTAAGCCCTAAGCCCTTTCCCGGAAGCTCCAAAGTCCCAAGCCCCGATCGCCTTGGTGGGCACACCGAGATGCTTGGGCAGCAGCCACGTTTGGGGAAAAAAGAGCTCTGCATGCCACGCAACTTCAGTCGCTATGGAAGCACTGTGCAAAGGATTCACAAGTTCCTCGCCGATATTCTATTGTGCTAGAGCCTTACTTCTACCACTCCCGCCAGCATTTCGAGGGGATGCGAAGCAGAAAGGACATGTTCTCATTAGCCCGCAATTTCCCAAAAGCGCATCCAGCTGCACGGGGTACCGTAAGGAGTTCTGACTCTTCGCAGGATTCGCAGGTTTCTGCATGCGGTCGAGGTGGATGCAATCATGCTCTGGGCATGAATGCTCTTGGTGCAAGCTGTGCACTGTACACCAACCCGAAAAACAAACACCGCGTGCAAAAGTGTCACGGACAACACGAACTCGACAGCTCACGCCTGGACCTTTGGCTTGGACCCACTGTGGCATGACTTGCCTCCCCAAACCATGTCGGGAAAACACTTCGCCCTATTCTGAAGCCTCTTTTTCCACATGCGTCTTGCAGGATTGCGAGTTGGGCGGCAGTTTTGTGATGTTTTGTGTGTCTTTCCATGTCCGGCTGTCAAGCCTGTGTCCTCGAGGCCCTTCTGACTCAGACTCTGTTCATAAAAGCAAAAGAAAACGGCCGACTCGTAACGGTCCTAGCGCCAAGCCCTGAACCTTGCAACCTGCAGCCTTTTGAGCTCGAGACTCCTGAGCGCGCAGAGGCGAACAGCCTCAAGAGCCTAGGAGGAGACTCTGGGAGACTCTGAAAGATTCTGGGAGTTTTGGGGTCAAAGGTTCGGACGGTCTAGTGTTCTGGGAAGGGCTGAACGGGCTACATCTCCAACGCTTTGGTCTCATAAGGGCGAAAGGGGGCGGGGGTTGTTTAGGGTTTCACAGCTGACGGTTTGAAGGCTTGGGGGGTTGGGGTAGGAGCTTCGTCGGGGTGGTCTCCAGCCGAAGCCGGACCCGTCGGATGCCTTGCCTGCTCTGTGCGAGCGTTGAGTGGTATCAAGCTCCTGGGCCCAGTGCTTCTCTGTATGTAAAGAGCTTTGTGCTCTGCAGCTTTCTTTTGCCGGCGCTTGTGCCGGCATGCTTCTGCCCGAGAATTGCTTTACTCCCTGCGAAGATTTCCAACCCTGAGGGTCTTGTAGTCCGTTTTGTTTGTTTCAGAAGCAGGACCGTTGGTATGAGTGTCTGTTGCCGAACATCATCATGCACATGGCTGAGGGTCTTGAAGAAGTAGCGGAGACTTGGGGACGCTAGTTCATTTGATGCATTTTGATATTGCTTTCTGGGGCCTCTTTGCATGACGACCCTCATTGATCATCATTGACCTCTTGCGAGGAAGCGATGGCTCAATTAGACTATCGGTTTACTTTCATTGACGTGGCCACTTGGCTGCCGTTGGCTGTTCAGTGCACGTCCTGTGGCAGGCGTCCACGGCTGCACACCGCCAGAGATCTCGCATGTAATTGCGACTGCCTCCCACGAAACCTGTCCGGTTCTGAAAGATACGAACTGAGAGGTGGAACCGCCGCCCAGACCGCGCTACGAAAGCCTCCCTCCCCGTTGCTTGGATGCTCTTTCAAAAGCAGAGGCGTCGAGTTGCCTGGAGCTTGAGATGTCCAGGTCTGAGGCCCTCCCACGAAGGGCTCGAGGCGGATGCCCTGTGGGAGCGGGACCAGGACCGCGTAAGGGCGCCTTGGGTTTGAAAGGGCTGACGGCCGAAGGAATAATTTTGTGGGTTCGGGCTCCGCAAAAAGTCAGGAGAAGGAGTAATCTTTTATTTCTCGCGAATCCTGGACAGTGGGGATCCAACGGGTCGGGTTCAGGAACTTCAGTACTAGTAGTGCCGGTTGCTGGGTTTGGCAACCCGAGGCGTCAGGCTGCAATCAGAATAGCTGTGAGCTGTCGCGTGTTCCACTCCATGGTTTGCTTCCTGCCCAACCCCTGAACCTGAAGCCCCTAGCAGAAGAATCGCGAGTTCACCAGAGCCGTTCGGTTCTCCTACCAGGTCCTCAACCATCCCCCGCTGGTTTGTGAAAAGCCTTCTTCCCGAAGCCCTCGAGGACGCCGCATACGTGAAAGCACTGGATCTGCAGGTTCGGGAGAAGCACTAGGGATTTTGACCTTTGTTTTGGTTGAGGCGTTGTCTTGGGTTTGTTTGGATTTATGGCAGCGTTCTCGTTCTACTCTTGTTCCTCTTGTGTTGTTGCGGGTTCTTCTCATTTTTTGTTGGCCGGAACCAATAAACAAAGGAGGACATGCTTGATCAGGCGGTTCGAATTCAGGGAGTTTGAATCGGAGAGCGCGCTAGACGAAACGCTAGAGATGTTGAGGAATTTTAGCACTTCTCGTCGTTCTAAGTTCTGCCTGCAAGTTCTGCCTCTTCAAAAGATCCGCATGGAGCTGGCTGCAAAGGGGTCACGAGGTCCGCGAAACCGCTCTTGCAAGGCACAGCTTGCACTGGGACACTGGGGCACTGCTTCTGACGCCCCGGGAGGAACAGAGGAAGAATCGTAGCATTCCTGTCATCTTCCGCAGCATGGAGCTGTTGCCAACAGCTGCCCGGATCTTTTTGCGACCTCAGCGCGGACTCGCAACCAGATAACATCGAAGGCAAGAAAGTTTGGCGGCAAGAGCTGAATCAACATTGCGCTGCCTTGCCATACCTATTGAAAAAACGTGCATGCCTAGCATGGCCTTCTAGCCTCGTCCCAACCCTCTTTGGGTCCTTAGACACTATAACCCTGACCCCCTGAGAAGGTCGCTGCCTCCCCATGGCTTGATGCCGCGCCGCCGCGGTCGAGCCAAGGGTCTCTGGGCCACCCAGAGGCCAGGGAAACGAGAAACGAGGGCTCTTGGTGGCTGCTGGTCTCATTTCTCGTGCTCTTGCTTGTGATTTCAGTCAGGTGTGCCGCCGTCCCTGCGTCCTGATGCAGACGCCCAGATTGGAAGGTTGTCGTGGGCGTTAGCAAGCGCGGAAGACATCTTATCTTAGGGCCCGACCAAGGCCTACCGAGCTGAACCTTCGCAAACCTGAAGTTGAGTCCGAGAAAAGCTCGAATGACTCGAAGAAGCTGGGGTCAACGTACTGTGCATCGTTGTTTATTCCCAGGTCTCAAGGCTCTTCTTGCAATGGATTCTAAGATAGTATTTCGGCCCAAGGCAGGAGTAGAGGATGTTGAGGGTGAGAGCCTGGCCTTGGGGAGGCGGTTCGATGTGAGAGCCTTCATGGGCAAACAGGACCATGTTGCACTCGACAACCTAACCTGTGGGAGATAGTGTGCTGGTAGTAATTAGTAGATTGGTCCAAACTTAATCTCCATTCAGCGCTGTCGCAAAAGCACGTGTGTCTTGACACGCTGTGGCATGCTTGTGCGTAGATGGGAGGAACTTCGATCCTCCTTCCAGGGTCCCTTACCGACACGAACCCGATGGATGAACATCAAGAAGCAGAAGCACGGAACTATGAGCTTCATGCAAAGACGAAGACTAAGCCCTCTGCCCATCGAACTCAGGATGGGCCACTGCCATAAAGGACAAGATTGCGAGTACTGCCACTGCCTACATGCGACAAGGCCGCCGAAGCTGGATCGGCGGCTGGGTTCAATAAGCTTTGGAAGAGAGAGACGTGTTCTGGGCATCTGGGACTCGAAAAAACTGGAGTTTTCCAAGCTTATGTATGACTGAGGGTCCCAGCTTTGGCTAAAGATCCTTCTTGACCCAGGAAAAATCCCTGCAAAGGCCTCCGGCCTGGTAGCTTGTGGAGCAAGTTATGCAACCCCGAATGACCACAGGCCGGGCCCGGAAGACACATGACTAACAGCCTCGAATCTATGAATGCAATTGGAAGCCGGATGCCATGCATTTTTCTGCAGACTCGGGCTGGCCACAGCCTCTACTTACTCTTGCAGCGGCCATCAATTCGTGTCGAACGTTCGTCGTGCGGGGGAGTGCGAATGCAGGTTTTATTCAAAGCGTTCTGTCGCCCAGCGCCTGACGTGGAGAGTTGGGAGCCTGGGGTTTTGATGTTTTGGATGGTTTCCGGGTGCCAGGATGTGGTTCCCGGTGGAGATCGGTAAGATTAACCGTCAACAATCTAAACCGTAGAACCTACCAGATCATGACACCGGACACAGGACCTAACCGACCTAACCTCAGGCCCATCAACGGAATTCTGGCAACAGAGTAATCAGCGAGCACGTTCTGAAGCTCAATTCGTCATGTCGGGGGGTGTCGTTTACTGCTTTGCAGCCACGCACCTTTGTTACTTCCCATATTTCTTGTGCTGGTGAGTCAAGCCTGCCCGCATTAAAGCAAGCTCAACATGAAACCCGGGGGAAGAACCCCAACGCCGCAAAAGGCCGTCCACCCTAAGAGGCATCAGAGCCCTTTAGAAAGCCGGGTTTCTAAAAAAACGCCCAAGGCAGCTCCGCAGCCAGTTCCTGGAACTTGACCGCGGTGACCAGTTCCTTGCGCTGCAATCGCAGGGCTTCTGTTTTGCAGG